GCGGGGCTCGAACTCAGGGACCGCGAGATCGTGACCTGGCTGAAGTCAGACGCTTAACCGACTGCGCCACCCAGGCGCCCCCAGGCTGTCCATTCTTAACAGTGCTCCCCGAGGGTCTCCATAATTTATTACGCCGGCCCTTCTCAGGCTCTCCCATTTTCCGAATCTCCCCTTGAAACATTGCTGTTCTGCTCCCACCGCAAAGTGCAGAGTGCAGGTTTTTGCTGCCTGAGCTGGGGATGAGAACACCTCCGGGCAAGAAGGCCAACAGCTGTTATTTATCTGATTTGGTAGCCCTTTGTCATGAGAAAACACATCTGTTTTCTGCCTTTGTTGGCTGCCTTTGGTTTTTCTCCATTGTCCTGAAAAAACTACTTTTAATAATTTTGTTCAGTTTTTGCCCTCATACTACCATTACTAGGAATACTTAGAATGTTTTTAAATGCAGAAAATAAAATGTATGAGTTTACAAAGGAACAATTACCAATAAATTAGAAATTTATTAATTAAATTAATAAAATCTAGTAATCTGTGTGCTCCTCCATGAACACTTAAAATAGCAAGATCTAGTGAGGGGCCATATTAATACCATAATTTTGAAGTGATGAGCATAAGCAGGATTTCAAGATATAGGGGCACCTGGGTGGCTCAGTGGATTGGGCATCTGACCTTGGTGCAGGTCATGATCCCACAGCTCATGAGTTTGAGCCCCACGTTGGGCTCTGTGCTGACAGCTCAGAACCTGGAGCCTGCCTCGGGTTCTGTGTCTCCCTTTTTTTCTGCCCCTCCCCTGCTCATACTTTGTCTCTCTCTCTCTCTTTCAAAAATAAACATTAAAAAAAAAAAAAGATAGGTACACACATAATGAAGAAGCACTTTATTGGTGACAAAGCCACAGAACATCAAGGGACTATGTGTGACTGTTGTGTGTATTCATAATTATAGGAAATGCTAAATTTTAGTTAGGGGTTAGTGAAAATAATGATGATAATTTCCCCCAAATTCCCAGACCGTCTGAATTTCATCCAAGACATCTGTGGACCCAGATGAAGACCCCCCACCTGGCTTTATAATTCTGTGGGAGTGTGGGCAGGAGATATGTGTGGAAGTCTGACACCTGAAGTAAAGCTCACGCTCTGTTCTGCTCTCTGGGGGGGGCTTCAGGGAGTGGAATGGGGGATTCTTCTCTCTTACTGAGCGTTTATCTATCTATCCCTCTGCTGAGGTATTTACCCACGAATTATAATTAAAGTTTTAAGAATCAAAAGGAAGGCGCACCTAGGTGACTCAGTCAGTTAAGCGTCCAACTTTTGATCTCAGCTCATATCATGATCTCAGTTTGTGAGATCAAGCCTCGCATCAGGCTCTGCGTGGACAGTGCAGAGCCTGCTTGGGATTCTCTCTGTCTCTCTCTGTCTCTCTCTCTCTCTGTCTGTCTGTCTGTCTCTCTCTCTCTCTCTTTCTGCCTCTCCCCTGCTTACACGTGTGCGCTCTCTCTCTCTCCCTCTCTCCCTCTCTCTAAATAAATAAATAAACCTGGAAAATCATTAAAAAAAAAAAAAAAAGAATCAAAAACGAAGACTATGTTGGATACCGAGTTTGCACATAGCTCTCCTCTGAATTCCTGAGCTTTTCAGTGCAGTTTTAATTGTAGACAAAACACTGAAGAGGCAAATACTCAAAGCCCAGGTTTTAACATGTTATTTTAGCTTCTCAGGCACCAAAACTACATTGTCAGTAGATCTTTATGGGCAGAGTTAGAATATACTCTGTGGTATTTTTCGTGGTCTTGTTGAGTTGTAGTCCTAAAACATTTGGCTAAAAGTCAAAAACTTACAGAGCGGACTGGCTGCACTCTGGGTGCACAGCCAGATGGCAGTCTTTGTGCCGTCAACCTTTCTGTCACGAATCCTCCTCTTTCAGGTCACAGCAGTCGCACAGCAGAACCAAGGAGAAGTCCCCGAGCCTCAGGACATGAAAGTGGCGGAGGTTCTCTTTGATGCCGCAGACGCGAATGCTATTGAGGAGGTCAACCTCGCGTACGAGAACGTCAAGGAAGTGGACGGGCTAGACGTCTCCAAGGAAGGCACGGAAGCTTGGGAGGCCGCCATGAAGAGATACGATGAGCGGATCGACAGGGTGGAGACCCGGATCACCGCTCGCCTTAGGGATCAGCTTGGCACAGCCAAGAACGCTAACGAGATGTTCAGGATTTTCTCCAGGTTCAACGCGCTGTTCGTCAGGCCTCACATCCGTGGGGCCATCCGCGAGTACCAGACCCAGCTAATCCAGCGCGTGAAAGACGACATTGAGTCTCTCCACGACAAGTTCAAGGTCCAGTACCCACAGAGTCAGGCGTGTAAGATGAGCCATGTGCGCGACCTGCCCCCGGTGTCGGGCTCCATCATCTGGGCGAAGCAGATCGACCGCCAGCTGAGCGCCTACATGAAGCGCGTGGAGGACGTGCTGGGCAAGGGCTGGGAGAACCACGTGGAGGGCCAGAAGCTGAAGCAGGATGGGGACAGCTTCCGCATGAAGCTCAACACTCAGGAGATCTTCGACGACTGGGCCCGGAAGGTGCAGCAGCGCAACCTGGGCGTCTCGGGGCGCATCTTCACCATCGAAAGCACCCGGGTCCGCGGCCGAACTGGAAACGTCCTTAAGCTGAAAGTTAACTTCCTTCCTGAGATCATCACGCTTTCAAAGGAAGTTCGAAATCTCAAGTGGCTTGGTTTCCGAGTCCCGCTGGCGATTGTGAACAAGGCCCATCAAGCAAACCAGCTGTACCCATTTGCCATCTCGCTGATCGAGAGCGTCCGCACCTACGAGCGGACCTGTGAGAAGGTGGAGGAGCGCAACACCATTTCCCTTCTGGTGGCCGGCTTGAAGAAGGAGGTGCAGGCTCTGATCGCAGAGGGCATCGCGCTGGTGTGGGAATCCTACAAGCTCGACCCCTACGTGCAGCGCTTGGCGGAGACCGTCTTCAACTTCCAGGAAAAGGTGTGTTGATCTCCTGTTCCCTGGGAATGAACTGAATGAGGAGACAGCTCACTCGGTTCACCTGGTAGCTCTCCCACAGGAGGCCTTCCCGACGGGTGTGGCATTGGGCCGTGTGAGCTGAAGGGGAGAGGAAGCCCTTTTACTTACGGTGCTGTTTGATGGTGCTCTGGGAAGGCCATTAGGTAACTGAGTTTAGAAACCAGCGGAGAGATGAAGAACACGGGAGTCTGACGGAGCAAAATGAGAGCTTTTCTACTGATACAGCTACGCGGAGAACGGGGCTCTGGCCGTCAGTCCCCCTAGACCTAGATTTGCTTCCCAGACCCTAGCATAGGCGGATGGTCGTAAGCCGTCTGGCCTACAGGCTGGCGCTTGCGACAGAGAAGGCACTGAGCGGAGCAGACTTCTCATTCAGAGGTCACCCTTCCTGTGAGCAGGAGGGAGTAAGGGGGAGACCTTGATAATTTCCATACGTTTTCCTTTCCTCTGTGGAAACACAGGAGTGGGAATAAGTGTTCTTACACCAACAGATAGGATTAGCTATTCATGGAAAGAACTCCTTTACCGTGAATATTTGTTCATTGAGAAGAATGTACACAAACATAAAGGAATAGAGTGAATGGCTGTTTTAAATAATAAATGTGCCTTCCTTTAGGTGGATGATCTGCTAATAATAGAAGAAAAAATCGACCTGGAAGTCCGTTCCCTGGAGACTTGCATGTATGATCACAGGACTTTCTCAGAGATCTTGAACAGAGTTCAGAAAGCCGTGGACGACTTAAACCTGCACTCCTATTCCAACTTGCCCATCTGGGTCAATAAGCTTGACATGGAGGTGAGGGATGGGAGTGTTATCGTGGTTTTCATTTTTCTACTAGCAATATAAGGGTGGACCCTATTTTGTAAGTTCATTTCCATAGAAATTACCATCAATGGTCCAGTTTCCCCTCCAGAAATCCCATTTAGGTAATGACAGAGCCGAGCTGTGTGGTTCTAGCAATACTCCTGTCCATTCCAAGTTGAGGCGGTGAGGTGGGGGGATTCTCTTTATCTTCTGAATACCTGACAGCTTCCTGCCTGCCCTTCCCTGCTCACCTGATAAAGGTCGTCTTCCCTGGCCTTCCCCTCCAGGCATCCTTCTCTGACACTCTGCCCCTCTCGACCACCCAATTTAAATGCCTGGGGGTGCCTGGCTGGCTCAGTCAGTAAGGTACGCAACTCTTGATCTCTGGGTCATGAGTTCAAGCCCCACGTTGGGCCTAGAGCTTACTTTAAAAAAAAAAAAAAGAAAAGGAAATGCCCAGTAACCACCTCATTCCTCTCGTAGAGGATTGGGGCTCACTCCTGTAGGGGTCTGCGGGGAGGTTAAAGTGCACATGTGTTTGAAACATACTTAACACCACATGTGGCTTTCTCATTGCTGGACATCAGAGAGCATCCGTGGAGAATCCTGGGAAGTGGGATATTTCATGACGGAGCTGCTCCATGGGCGGTGGTGGTTAGGCAGCTCTGAAGCACCTTAGTTATCCATTTTAAAGGGAAAGCCTGTGACCCACAAAGGTGCAGTGTATCCACACGTGGAACACTGGCGGGGAAAATTAACAAAACCCACTCTTCTGAATCTACTGAAAGTCTCGGGCTTTGTCACAGCTGCCCTTCCAGCATTCCCAGGATGGTTTTGTGGCCCAAGACAGACTCTGCGCAAAGATGTATAGGTGTCCCGTTCGTAGGAAATTTACTTCTCTCGTTCTCGATCAAGTGAGACTTTTTTCTTCACTTGTTAAAAGAAGATGGTCACCTGTATGTGGTGACTTTGCCATGTACATAAATATGAAATCATTATGTTCATCTGAAGCTAATAGAATGTTATATGTCAATCATATCTCCACTTCATAAAAGAGAAAATGGTTTATTCTCCACATTATAGATTGCTAGTTTTATCTCTGAGGCTACCAAGAAACTACTTTTGTTTTATAAATTTTCTAGTACGTTGAGGGAACAGCAAGACTGTGACTACATCTGCTGCATTTGTGTCCATCTCCTTGTCCCTGACAAATCAGAGGGTTGGTGGTTAGGTTAGCCCCCAGATGGAGGTCAGGGTCTCTGAGTCTGGGAGAGGCACAGGAGGGGGAGGGGGGGGATCAGGCTGAGATGAAGGGTGTGGTAGCAACTGTCATCCTCGACCTGAAGCATCGGCTTTCTATCTGACATGCTTGCCGACCTGCCTTTTGGAAAGACACTGTTTTCTGACACTACTTTCCCTGTAGATTGAAAGAATACTGGGCGTTCGCCTACAAGCTGGCCTGAGAGCTTGGACCCAGGTGCTTCTTGGACAAGCTGAAGATAAAGCAGAAGTTGACATGGATACAGACGCACCACAAGTTAGTCACAAGCCTGGTGGGGAGCCAAAGATTAAAGTGAGTATTTCCCATGGCGTCCGATTTGCTAGTAAATCGAACAGAAGGTTCTCCCCCTTGAAAAGTAGCAATGAGGGGCGCCTGGGTGGCGCAGTCGGTTAAGCGTCCGACTTCAGCCAGGTCACGATCTCGCGGTCCGTGAGTTCGAGCCCCGCGTCAGGCTCTGGGTTGATGGCTCAGAGCCTGGAGCCTGTTTCCGATTCTGTGTCTCCCTCTCTCTCTGCCCCTCCCCCGTTCATGCTCTGTCTCTCTCTGTCCCAAAAATAAATAAACGTTGAACAAAAAAAAAAAAAAAAAAAAAAAAAAGAAAAGTAGCAATGAGAAAGCCACTTTACAGTGGAGAAACCTGACAGATACCACCCCACCCTCTGTGCTCTTTGTCCCCACACCTCCCAGACTCGTTCTAATCATGAGAAAAGGTCAGACATCCCTTACAGAACACCTCACCAGTACCCTTCCAAAGTGTCAAGGTCGTGAGAGAAAGACAAGGAGGAACAGAGATGTCACAGGTTGGAAGGGGTTAAGGCATGTGACGAGTAACTATGTTGTGGGGTCCTGGGAGATCTGACTGAAGTCAGGATTTTAGTTAGTGTTGTATCGATGTTAATTTCTTGGTTTTGGTAATTGTGACGCGCTAGATGTTAACATTACAGAGAGTTGGTCCAGAGTGCATGAAAACTCTTCATACTTTCTTTGCAACTCTCCTGGAAGTCTAAAATAATTTCAAAAACAGACTTTTTTTTTTAAATGGGAAATAAATTTTAGAAAAAAATCTACACTTGGGGGTGCCTGGGAGGCTCAGTCAGTTAAGCTTCTGACTTGGCTCAGGTCATGATCTCATGGTTCGTTGGGTTTGAGCCCTGCGTTGGGCTCTGTGCTGACAGCTCAGAGCCTGGAGTCTGGGATTTTGTGTCTCCCTCTCTCTCTGCCCCTCCCCCCACTCACGCTTTCTCTCTCTCTCTTTAAAAAATAAATATCAAAAAAAATTTTTTTAATGGAAATCAGAAAAAAACTACACTGGAAAAAAATCTCTACTTTCCAGGCATACATGCAAGAAACCATTTCAAGTGTAACCTAGTACAAGGAAAATTCAGACTCTGACACTAAAATGCCACTGTTTTCACACAATCTTCTCAGTCATGGAAGAGTGCACCAGCACGGTGGCCTCCACGCAGGACAGCAATCTTGGTCCCCAAGCCCCCCATTTCCCATTTGAGTGAAGGAGTGGCCAGCTGGAGCCCAGCAAGCTGTCTAGAAAAGTGTTAATTCAAGTTCTGCTAGTGGGTCCTGTCTACTAATCTGGGCATCAGTTACAAAAGTGTCTGCCTTACAGTAGTTCATTAAGCCATATTTGTTTTAGGTAGTTTATTGCATTTGTGTTCAATTTACCAGTAAGACTACCTCACAAAACAGAGGTCTAAAAGAACTAAAGGTAAAAACTTTGATGTGGGAGAAACAATTGGCTGCTTTTTTCCTACCCAGACGTTACCTTCTCTTTTTTTTTTTCCTCTTAATGCTTGAAAAATGTTTTCGGTTTTGAATATTGCACATTTATTCCCAAAGCATACTTTTTAAAATACAGAGATGCAGACAAGCAAATGGGTCTGTGTAAGCCAGAGCAGTTACCCAGTGGAGGTGGAGGTGGAAATCTTGCTCAGCTTAAAGCAGACACTGGCAGGTGGCACAGACTCACCTTGACTCCTAAACCTACGCCCGTGCCGCATGTCTGACAGCTAATGCCAGTCTCATGTGGCTGCATCAGTGACACAGGGTTGTGAGGTCCTGAGGTCATTATGTCCAGAGATCACCACGCATATTAAAGCAGATGGTGCCATTGAGCACCCATTGTGTGTTCAGCACCTACACACAGGGGATCCAGGAAGCGCCTAAGCAGTGCCTGCCCTCTGGCTTCTTATCCTCTGGGGAGGGCCGTGCACCCCACACATGGGCTACAGCAGACCATGACGTCCATTAAAGTAACAGACCCGTGGTTCAGACTCAAGTAGGTTCATAATTCAGAGGGAGAAAAATATTATGCGTCAAAACTACTTTTTTTACTTTGAGAAAGTACTTTCTTTCAAGAAAATTCATTTAAAATTACTCTAATGCTTTATATGACAAAAATAACTAAGCTATAATTTGTATACTTTTTACCCAATTTTGAATTTAAACTTTCCTAGCACCTGATTGTACTTGAGGGAATTACTGAGTGACGATCACGTACGTGTATATCCGGTACCGTTTGATTGAAGGTGGCCCCTGGAGGCGTTCGGTAATTTATTAGTACATCAATGCCATGCTTCGGTATTAGATTTTTAATCCAGAAATGATCACCCTTCTTGTGAATACTGATTCTGGCGGCACAAATGCATGAAAGCGTATTCTTGAAATAGATATTTGAGTAGGAAATGAAATCTTCCCTTTACAGAATGTCGTTCATGAGCTAAGGATAACCAATCAGGTCATCTATTTGAACCCGCCCATCGAAGAGTGCAGGTACAAGCTGTACCAGGAAATGTTTGCCTGGAAGATGGTTGTGCTGTCTCTGCCCAGGATCCAGAGTCAGAGGTACCAGGTGAGCCTTCCGGGGACTCGCGCCACACGGCCTCTGCCCAGGCCTCCCTGGGGCCCTGGGGCGCCACCTCTCCTCCATATCCCTGGAAATGGTGCTCTCCATATGTCTTTCAAGACTCCCGACTTGGGACTCTGCATTCTAAGGGAAAGCTAGAGGAGGGCTTGTGTGACTCGGCATTTTCCCCCCGTGGCTGCTTTCCCAAATCGTTGCATCTGCAGTTCTGATTTCGGTAGGTCTCTCAGCAATTCCCCCCACGAACCCGTCTTTTAATTCCTCCTTCTCCCCACCCCCACTTTTTAATATAGAAGTTTGTAGATACACACAAAAGTAGAGGGAATCTCATGAGTTCACATCAGCCTGCTTTATCATGTGGCCAATTTAAATTTTTATTCCTTTCCCTCCTCCTTCTCCCCACCAGACTATTTTAAAACAAATCCCAAATATACTCTTTAATAAGAGTATCAATAATAATAATGTGCTTTTGGAGCAAAAGGAAAACTGAAAAGACTGTTTAGTCCCTGGTCTGAGCAACATTACTTCTAAACAAGACTAGTGGTTTTCAAATAAGATTTCCATAACCTCTGTTGTAACAGGCTCTTCTAGAAAGTCTCAGCTTTGAATATAAGCAGCATAGGCTCAGTTCTGAGGTGTTTTTGTGGTAGCAGCCCCCCTGTAGACTCAGCCTTGGTGGTGACCAGCTAATCCGAACCGAGCTATGAACACTGGTTCCTTTCGCTCTGGGAGTGTGCAGACTGCAGGATATTTCTCGTCAGGTGTCTGTTCACACTGCTGTCCTGTTGTCTCCACACTGAACCAAACAGAAGCCAGCCCCTCTTACGCTGGAGCCCGTGCCCCTGCTCTGTGGCCCAGCTCCCCTTCCCTCTGCTGAGCCTCCTGTCACCCTCTAGCCACCTTACTTCTCAGCTCCCCCGGTGAAAACCCAGAGAACTCGTCTGCACACCTGCTCCGGGTCCAGCCCCTCAGGCGTCAGGGTCACAGGCATTTCCCTGCTGTTATGGCAGGCTTCTCAGCCCTTGAGAAGTGTCAGTGACAGGATGTGACGGTGTGCACCCCCCCCCGCCCCCACCGCCCACTTGATATGCTTGTTCCGCTTGGCTGTCCTGGTTTTCCTCCCACCTCACTGGCCAGTGTCCTCTGTGGCTCTTCCTTGGCTCTCTCTCTTCTGGCTCCTACTGTTTGAGTGCACTCTCCATCCCCAGCACCTGTCTCACCTGGTCCATTGCCGGCCAGATGGGACAACTGGGCTCATACCTCCAGCCCGGCCTTTATCCTGAGCTCTAGACCCATCTCCCCAGCCCGCCCCCCCGGGCATCTCCACAAGACTGATGGGTGCGAAAACTTGAGTGTGTGTCTGACCCCCTCCCTCAGACTAGCTGCCACCCCCACTCCTTTTCTCTGCCTTCAGCCTGCTCAGGGCCAAGCTGAGGTGTCACCCTTGCCTCCCACTGTTTCCGTCTGCAGAATTAACCCTGATCTTCTTTTTCCCACATCCAGTGATCCCACTGGTCCAAGGTACCATCATCCCTCACTTGAATTCTTAAAGTTCCCTTCTGACAGGTCTCTGTCTGCCTTTGCCCCCTGCTAAAATCTGTTTTCAACACAGCAGCCAAAGTCTTAGATTTTATCTCCGTCCCAACACTTCTTCCCAGAGCTGTTGATGGCTTCTCGTGTCACTCCCCATGGAAGCCCGTGTCCCATGGCAGAGAGCTGGGCCCCACGTAATATGCTGCTCCTTGCTTCTCTGACTTGAGTGCCCATATCTCCCTCGCTGGCTCCGTTCCAGACACACTGGCCTCTTGCTCTCTTCACATTCCAGGCAGGCTCCTGCCCCTGGGCCTTTGCACCTGCTGACCTCCCTGCTCAGAACCCCCAGTAGCAACATACTGCCATGGCTCACTCGCTCCCTCTCCTGGTCCTGCTCAGTGAGGCCTTCCCTGATCTTCCCCAACCCCACACTCCCAGCCCTCCTCTTTCCTGCTTTATCTCCATAGTACTTCTCACCTGCTGAGAAGTATCTCTCCCACAGAGTGTAAGCCCATGTGAGCAGAGTTTTTTGTCTGTTTTTTGTACCCACAGCAGTGCCTGGCACATAGCCAGCACTCAGATCATTGAAACGATGCATGTGTCATCGCTTCCATCATCCAAGTCGGTGTAAATATTTGGTCATGGAAATCTCCATTCTTTGGACATTGCCTTTAATGTTCTGCTCTCAGATGAGATAGGTCTCAAAGTGCTCTGTAGCGGTTTTTGGATTTTCTAACTTGTGCTTGATCTGATGTCCCTTCACTGGGTGATGAGTTGAGGAGGCCTCTGATTTCTTGTGGCTGGGGTAAGCAGATGTTCCAAATGCCATTTGTATAGCGGGCTCTTCCTTCGTTTCGTTTGAATTCAGTGAAAGGTGGCTCTGAGATGAACATCTTTGTACACACTGCTTGTATTTCTTCTGGTTCTGCTTGCTTAGGTGGGTGTTCATTACGAATTGACTGAAGAAGAGAAATTCTACCGGAATGCTTTAACGCGGATGCCTGATGGCCCCGTTGCCCTGGAAGAGTCCTACTCTGCGGTCATGGGCATCGTGACTGAGGTCGAGCAGTACGTCAAGGTGAGAAGCTCCCCGTCTCGTTGAAATACACTGTGGAGTGTGTTTAGACATAGTGAATATGAGGTCTGATGAACACGGGAGCCGAAATCGATGTAATGTGTGTCTAATATGATGTAATTGATGACACTTGCTTATTTTAAAGCAGCCAGTGAATGGTAGGACAGATCTTACAGAATATTAACTATTATTTTAGACAGCAATAAGTGTTATTCCTTTTTAATATAAAAATTAGGAGAACTTGAAGTGAATTTTTCTGACCGTATTGACGACAAGTGAGACGTGAACCTAATGCTTGTGAACATTCTGTAAGAGGCCCAGCTGTGCTATTTGACCCTCCCGTCCACCTGCAGGTCTGGCTTCAGTACCAGTGCCTGTGGGACATGCAAGCCGAAAACATCTACAACAGACTCGGAGAAGATCTCAACAAATGGCAGGCTCTCCTGGTGCAAATACGGAAGGCCCGAGGAACTTTTGACAATGCGGAAACCAAGAAGGAGTTTGGGCCAGTCGTCATAGATTACGGCAAGGTGAGCTCCGCCCCCCCGGGGCAGGGGGTGGAGGTCGCTGTAAAGGCAGCGTCTGTGGGTGACGAGGACGCGTGGAAGCGTAAACACCCCGGCGCGAGGGACTGACGATCTGCTGTCCTGGGCTCGTTCACCCACAGGTGCAGTCCAAGGTGAACTTGAAGTACGACTCTTGGCATAAGGAGGTTCTCAGCAAATTTGGGCAGATGCTCGGGTCAAACATGACAGAATTCCATTCCCAGATCTCGAAGGTGAGGAGGCGGGATCCTGGCCGTGTCGCGAATCTGCCGGCAAACCCTCGGCTCCGTGTTGAATTCCTGTGCTCTCTCCACACAGTCACGGCAGGAGTTGGAGCAGCACTCGGTGGACACGGCCAGCACCTCGGACGCGGTGACCTTCATCACCTACGTGCAGTCTTTGAAACGAAAGATAAAACAGTTTGAGAAACAAGTTGAGGTGAGCTCCGTGAACAGTTAAAGTTCTCATCGTCACCTCGCGAGGCACGGTATCAGAAATTAGGTGCCTACAGGCCACCACCATCTCCCTGACAGCCACCTGATGGGCTGCTTGAGGGCAGGCACTGGCATCCTAGGGATCCGCGTTTTAAACAGCTCTCGAGGTTTGAGGTCCACTGTGTTTTGTTTGCCTTTTAAAATCTTTTATTTTAGTGGTTGTTCTTCGAGTCCTCAAACTTGCATTGTGTTTATAATTTGGAAGGAGGGGGTGAACCACAGCCCAGCGTGCCTTCAGTCCTGTCCGGGCCCCCCGGCTGCAGGCGGGCCTGGGCCCCGCTGCTCCCTGAGCGCCGTGCTCTCAGCGTGGAAGGTTTCTGGAGAAGAGCAGATGTTGTTGTGTGTTCCGTAGCCACACGCTGTCTTCCCTTTACGTGGGAGCCTGACGGCAGTCTCTCTGATTCGAGAACTAAAACCACCTGTGTTCTGACTCGCGCAGCTCTACCGCAATGGCCAGCGCCTGCTGGAGAAGCAGAGGTTCCAGTTCCCACCCTCCTGGCTCTACATCGACAACATAGAGGGTGAGTGGGGGGCCTTCAACGACATCATGCGGCGGAAGGACTCTGCCATTCAGCAGCAGGTTGCAAACCTGCAGATGAAGATCGTGCAGGAGGACCGGGCCGTGGAGAGCCGCACCACCGACCTGCTGACGGACTGGGAGAAGACCAAGCCTGTCACGGTGAGTCCCGCCAGCGTCACAGTTTGCCCTGAGCCCACAGCGTGATTCGGTGTCTTTTCGCCCAAACTTAAAAAGGCTTTGCTGTGGATTAGCTTCCCCACTAATGAGGACTTCTCGTTTTTGTGACTAAAACTTGCACGTGGTCTCTTTGAAAAGTGAAAGCCAACGGAGGTCTCTTCTTACCCAGAAACCCCTCATGACGAGCATGTAAATCATGAGGTGGTTTTAAAAAAGTTTTTTGTTCCTAAGCTATCCTTTTATTGAGCACTAACTGTTCTGTGCAGTGGGGATGGAGCAGTGAACAGGAAGGACAGGAGCCCCCATCCCCATGGAGTCACATTCCAGTGGGAGATGCAGGGAGAAACGAGCAAGGAAAACGCGTGTTCGAGTCAGGTGGTGCGAGGTTCCGTGGGGAAGGGCGAGAGCTGGGAGAGAGAGCGGTGTTGGGTGTGCTGCCGGGAGGGGAAGGGGTGGGGGGTGGTAAGACCTGAGGGAGGGAGGGCAGATGGTGAGGGAGGACTTCCGGCAGAGGTGACATCGAGTGCGAGGCTCGAGCAAGTACATAACAGCATACCTGGTTTTCCAGGGCAGAATTCAGTGTCATTTATTTATACATAGAAACATAGGCAGGAGGGGCGCCTGGGTGGCGCAGTCGGTTAAGCATCCGACTTCAGCCAGGTCACGATCTCACGGTCCGTGAGTTCGAGCCCTGCGTCAGGCTCTGGGCTGATGGCTCAGAGCCTGGAGCCTGTTTCCGATTCTGTGTCTCCCTCTCTCTCTGCCCCTCCCCCGTTCATGCTCTGTCTCTCTCTGTCCCAAAAATAAATAAACGTTGAAAAAAAAAAAAAAAAAAAAAAAAAAAAAAAAAAAAAAAAAAGAAACATAGGCAGGAAAGAGAAGGGGGAAGGTGGTCATGGGACTTTGAATGTCAATCTGGTTTTCTAGTTTGGGTGTCACTGATCCACACCAGGGCTGGTGACAGGTCTAGCCTCCCACCATCTACTCCGTAGAGCTCTGTGCTGCCTCAGCCCTGGCTGTGATGCTGCATCCAAAGGTCCTGTTTTGTGTTCAGTTTTGGTTCAAGGGCCTGTGTTTTTTTGTTTGTTTGTTTGTTTTTTTACATGAGTCTTGTACTTGTTTTATTATTTTTTTTTAACATAATTTATCATCAAATTGGTTTCCATACAACACCCAGTGCTCATCCCAACAGGTGCCCTCCTCAATGCCCATCACCCACTTTCCCCTCTCCCCCAACCCCCCATCAACGCTGTTTGTTTTCAGTATTTAAGAATCTCTTATGGTTTGCCTCCCTCCCTCTCTGTAACTTTTTTTTCCCCTTCCCCTCCCCCATGGTCTTCTGTTACGTTTCTCAAGATCTACATATGAGTGAAAACATAAGGTATCTGTCTTTCTCTGTATGACTTATTTCACTTAGCATAATACTCTCTAGTTCCATCCATGTTGCTGCAAATGGCCATATTTCATTCTTTCTCATTGCCAAGTAGTATTCCATGATATATATAAACCACATCTTCTTTATCCATTCGTCAGTTGATGGACATTTAGGCTCTTTCCATAATTAGGCTATTGTTGAAAGTGCTGCTATAAACATTGGGATACATGTGCCCCTATGAATCAGCACTCCTGTATCCCTTGGGTAAATTCCTAGTAGTGCTATTGCTGGGTCGTAGGGTAGTTTTATTTTTAATTTTTTGAGGAACCTCCACACTGTTTTCCAGAGCAGCTGCCCTAGTTTGCATTCCCACCCAACAGTGCAAGAGGGTTCCCGTTTCTCCACATCCTCTCCAGCATCTGTAGTCTCCTAATTTGTTCATTTTAGCCACTCTGACCAGTATGAGGTGGTATCTCAGCGTGGTTTTGATTTGTATTTCCCTGATGAGGAGTGACATTGAGCATCTATCTTTTCATGTGTCTGTTTGCTATCTCGATGTCTTCTTTGGACAAGTGTCTGTTCATGTCTTCTGCCCATTTCTTCACTGGATTATTTGTTTTTCAGGTGTGGAGTTTGGTGAGTTCTTTATAGATTTTGGATACTAGGCCTTTATCTGATATATCATTTGCAAATATCTTTTCCCATTCTGTCGATTGCCTTTTAGTTTTGTTGATTGTTTCCTTTGCAGTGCAGAAGCTTTTTATCTTGATGAGGTCCCAGTAGTTCATTTTTGCTTTTAATTCCCTTGCCTTTGGAGATGTGTCAAGTGAGAAATTGCTACAACTGAGGTCAAAGAGGTTGTTGCCAGCTTTCTCCTCTAGGGTTTTGATGGTTTCCTGTCTCACATTCAGGTCCTTCATCCATTTTGAGTTTATTTTTGTGTATGGTATAAGAAAGTGGTCTGGTTTCATTCTTCCGCATGTTGCTGTCCAGTTCTCCCAGCACCATTTGCTAAAGAGACTCTCTTTTTTCCATTGGATGCCCTTTCCTGCTTTGTCAAAGATTAGTTGGCCAGATTAGTGGGTCCAATTCTGGGTTCTCTATTCTATTCTATTGGTCTACGTGTCTGTGTTTGTGCCAATACCATGCTGTCTTGATGATTACAGCTTTGTAGTAGAGGCTAAAGTCTGAGATTGTGATGCCTCCTGCTTTGTTTTTTTTTTCAAATATTACTTTGGCTATTCGGGGTCTTTTGTGGTTCCATACAAATTTTAGGACTGTTCTAGCTTTGAGAAGAATGCTGGTGCAATTTTGATTGGGATTGCATTGAATGTGTAGATAGCTTTGGGTAGTATTGACGTTTTAACAATATTCTTCCAATCCATGAGCACAGAATGTTTCTCCATTTCTTTGTGTCTTCTTCGGTTTCCTTCATAAGCTTTCTATAGTTTTCAGCATGCAGATCTTTTACATCTTTGGTTAGGTTTCCTTCTAGGTATTTTATGGTTCTTGGTGCAGTTGTGAATGGGATCAGTTTCTTTATTTTTCTGTTGCTTCATCATTGGTGTATAAGAATGCAACCAATTTCTGTACATTGATTTTGTACCCTACGACTTTGCTGAATTCATGTGTCCGTTCTAACAGACTGTTGGTGGAGTCTATCAGATTTCCCGTGTAGAGTATCATGTCATCTGGGAAAAGTGCAAGTTTGACTTCGTCTTTGCCAATTTTGATGCCTTTGATTTCTCTTTGTTGTCTGATTGCTGATGCTAGGGCTTCCAACACTATGTTGAACAACAGTGGTGAGAGTGGACATCCCTGTCGTGTTCCTGATTTCAGAGGGAAAGTTCTGTTTTTCCCCATTAAAGATGATATTAGCTGTGGGCTTTTCTTAGGTGGCTTTTATGATGTTTAAGTATGTTCCTTCTATCCCTCCTTTCTTGAGGGTTTTTATCAAGAAAGGATGCTGTATTTTGTCAAATGCTTTTTCTGAATCTATTGACAGGATCATATGGTTCTTTTCTTTCATTAACGTGATGTATCACGTTGATTGATTTGCAAATATTGAACCAGCCCTGCAGTCCAGGAATGAGTCTCACTTGATCATGGTGAATAATTCTTTTTATATGCTGTTGAATTCAATTTGCTAGTATCTTGTTGAGAATTTTTGCATCCATATTCATCAGGGATATTGGCCTGTAGTTCTCTTTTTCTGCTGGGTCTCTGTCTGGTTTCGGAATCAAAGTAAATCTGGCTTCATAGAATGAGTCTGGAAGTTTTCCTTCCCTTTCTGTTTTTTGGAACAGCTTGAGAAGGATAGGTATTATCTCTGCTTTAAATGTCTGGTAGAATTCCCCAGGGAAGCCTGCTGGTCCTGGAGTCTTACTTGTTGGGAGATTTTTGATAACTGATTGGATGTCTTCCCTAGTTATGGGTCTGTTCAAATTTTCTATTTCTTCCCGTTTGAGTTTTGGTAGTGTATGGGTGTTTGGGAATTTGTCCATTTCTTCCAGGTTGTCCAGTTTGTTGGTGTATAATTTTTCATAGTATTCCCTGATAATTGCTTGTATTTCTGAGGGATTGGTTGTGATAAATCCATTTTCATTCGTGATTTTATCTATTTGAGTCATCTCCCTTTTTGAGAAGCCTGGCTAGAGGTTTATCAATT